TTGAGCTGCTAAACATTGTCATCTCTGAGAAGCTGGTATGCATTGAGGATGACTTGCCCTGGCCGCACAAGCTCATTATTGGTAAACCCAGGCTTCCGTTTGTCGCTTCAACATCCTTTCCCAGCAATGCGCCAACCACTGTTTTGAAAAATGAGTCATGAAAACCTCATGACACCAACCCTTAGGAACAAATATTGAAATACAGGAAAATAAGTAAGCATGAATATTTAAAGCCGGGAAATTCAGAATGTAATATTTGCACACTGGGATATCTAATTTGTTTGCTCTGCTGATCAGAGCAGAAAAAAGTTCTCATAGTTCTATTTATATATTCATAAGTAGTAGTACACAGAAATCAACCATCATTTGTACGTTTTGGCAATGAAAAGAAAAAGTCAACTTTATGTCAAGCAGCCGAGGGTACCATGTTCTTCACACGTTCCTCTTTTGTCACGCAGGGCAATTCAGCGTGTCAACAAAAGACAGGACAGAGCAGAAGTGCACTGATGGGAACTTCTCAAACATTCCTGCTTAGAAAAGGAATTTCTCTAGTGAGAAATGGCCTCATTCAGAAGTGGAGAGAGTGTGCATGCTGAACGCAGAAAGGCAGACCAATGATTTTACTGGAGCACTTCTTGGAGAGCCTTTGAAGGCCCCACATACCCAGCCAGCCAGGAGTTAGCTCTGGAAACATTCTGCCTGTCAGTCTCTGTCATGGTTATAAGCACACTGAGGTGTCACAGTTTTTGATGACTGTTCAAAAGAAACAGAGCCAGACCCTAGTTGAAGGCAAATAAGATTTTATTCATACTACTGCAATAAGGGGAAAGAGTTGAGCTCAGTTCCTAAGGCAGGGACAAGTCGGGATTTATGGCTAAGAAAGGGGAGTCAGTCAGTCAGTCAGTTCAGTTGCTCAGTCGGGTCCACTGAACCACAGCATGCCAGGCCTCCCTGTCCACCACCAAGAGTTATCAAATGGAAAACTACTGAGAGGAGACATCAAGGGTGAGCTACTCTTGCTAAATCTACTTAGGATTCTTGCTGAAGGCAGGCCACAGTGGTCAGTTCGGGGGTGAGGGATGACAGCAGGATTCTTGGCGAGGACTGGCTGGGGCAGGCCGATGATGGGCCCTGAACGAGACCACAGAACACATTTCAGAGCTCAGTGCCTCTCATGTTCTTTATGTTTCAGTGTGGAAAGAATCCAGGGAGAGGCCAAGTGATAGATAAGAAGTGATTTATTTCAGGGGATATATGTATACCTATGGCTAGTTCATGTTGAAGTTTGACAGAAAACAACAAAATTCTGTAAAGCAATTATCCTTCAATTAAAAATACAATAATTTTTTTTTTTAAAAGAAGTGATTTATTTGTATAGGATGCTTGTGAAGGATACACATGGGCAGGTAAAAGGGCTCTGCTCTGAGAACTTAGTAGGCTACATTTTTACAATCAAAGGAAAAGTGGGATGGGGAGAAGACCATCTCTTCTTCATTCTTTTTAAAAATCAATCAGTTAATTAACTTTTGACTATGTTGGGTCTTCGCTGCTGTGTGGGCTTTTCTCTAGTTGTGGCAAGCAGGGGCTACTCTCCAGTTGCGGTACGTGGTCTTCTCATTACAGTGGCGTCTCTTGTTGCAGAACACGGGCTTGAGGGTGTGTGGGCTTTAGTATTTGTGGCACATGGGCTCATGAAGATGGCTCCCAGGCTCTAGAACACTGGCTTAGTAGCTGTGATGCAGAGTTTAGTTGCTCCAGGGCAGGTGGAATCTTCCAGGACCAGGGATTGAACCCATGTTTCTTGCACTGGCAGGTGGATTCTTTACCACTGAGCCACGAGGAAAGCCCTCTCATTCTTTTAAAAAGTATTCATCTATTGATTTGGCTGCCACAGGTCTTAACTGCAGCATTTGGGATCTTTGCTACATCATGCAGGATCTTTTGTTGAGGCACGTGGGCTGTCTCCAGTTGTGGTGCATGGGCTTAGTTGCCCTGTGGCATGTGGGATTTCAGTTTCCCAACCAAGGATGGAACCTGTGCCCCCGACACTGCAAGGCAGATTCTTAATCACTGGACCACCAGGGAAGTCCCCTCTTCCTCATTCTTGAATAGAGATCAAGCTTGCATCATCAGCTTCTCCTCCACCCTGGGTGGTACAGTTTTTTGATCGCTACGTAGTCAGACTGGGATTGTCAAGGTGCTAATCAAATCAGCAGAAGGGTGGTAACACATGCTAAAATATGGTTAATCATCTCAGGCTTCTACTGATCTTGCACTGGCAGGTGGATTCTTTACCACTGAGCCACGAGGAAAGCCCTCTCATTCTTTTAAAAAGTATTCATCTATTGATTTGGCTGCCACAGGTCTTAACTGCAGCATTTGGGATCTTTGCTACATCATGCAGGATCTTTTGTTGAGGCACGTGGGCTGTCTCCAGTTGTGGTGCATGGGCTTAGTTGCCCTGTGGCATGTGGGATTTCAGTTTCCCAACCAAGGATGGAACCTGTGCCCCCGACACTGCAAGGCAGATTCTTAATCACTGGACCACCAGGGAAGTCCCCTCTTCCTCATTCTTGAATAGACATCAAGCTAGCATCATCAGCTTCTCCTCCACCCTGGGTGGTACAGTTTTTTGATCGCTACGTAGTCAGACTGGGATTGTCAAGGTGCTAATCAAATCAGCAGAAGGGTGGTAACACATGCTAAAATATGGTTAATCATCTCAGGCTTCTACTGAAGGGTCTTCTACTTTGGAATGTCACCTTTCCCCTATATATACATATTTTTAAAAATTTTTATTTATTTAATTATTGGCTGTTCTGGGTCTTCAATGTTGCAAGAGGGCTTTCTCTAGTTGAGGAGAGCAAGGGTTACTCTCTCGTTGCGGAGCACAGGCCCTAGGGCACTTGAATTTCTATAGTTGTGGTGCATGGGCTCAATAGTTGTGGCTCTCAGGTGTTAGAGCATGAGCTCAGTAGTTGTGGTACACAGGCATAGCTGCCTTGAGGCATGTGGCATCTTCCCAACCCTGGGGTCGAACTGTGTCCCCTACATTGGCAGGCAGATTCTTAACCACTGGACCACAAGGGAAGCCCTATTTTTGTTTTTAGTTCATACACAGAGGAACATGTCCTAGCAGTCATTAACTTACTGACCTCAACCAGCAGGATGCTGGTGTCACTGACTTGACCTACAGTTTTGTTGTTAAGCAAGCCTGCTTTGTTTAACAATTTTCTGATTGCTTTCTTGATGATCATTAACTTACAATGGTCTCTCAAAGCCCCCTAAGTTCCCCCTCATTTATAATTTCCTAGTGGGATTTTTAAACTAGTTATTTGACTATCTTACTCTAGACTTATCATGAGGACAGGCCTGGTGGAGAAGAGGGTTCAGAGGAGCCGGTCTAAAGTTTGATCGAGGAAAGCCTTTAACAGAACTGAAGTTATCAGACAGGAGACAATGCAGAAAATGTTGCCCTTAAATTCAGGTGGGAAGTGGGTAATAAGGTAGAGTATGTGAACAGTAAGCTATTTTTAGAGTAATGGCAGGGGTCTGGAAGAGGGGGCAGGGGAGGGAGGCAGGTGTGAGGAGGCCCTCATGGAGCTGCTCTCAAGCATCAGGAGTAAGAATGTTGCTCAGTTCCGCTGAGATTATCCAGGACACATAAAGCTGGTTAGCAGAGGCCAGCAATCCAGCCACCCTTCGATGCCCTGGAAGGAAGTCAGGTATGAACGGATGCTGCCTGTCCCAGCTGGGGTTAGTCACCTTATCCTGTTTCCAGGACTCCATTTATGGCTGTTCTTGTGCTCAGTGAAGGAAAAGGGGTAGGAGACTTGGTTCCAAAAGAGGCAAGGTCCTGGGCTTCCTCTCATAGCATCTGCAGTCCTCTCCCACCTTAAGGACCAGCCAGTGCGATGGGTCAGAATTAAATGACACAGGATCACGGTTCAGGAGGGGCCTTGGGAAAGTCCCTTCACAGGCTGGTTGAGAACACCCAGCAGATGCAGAGCTGGAGGGGAGCTGAGCTATGCCTATGTTCCTCTTGAGGGGGTTCTTGAGGGCGGGGTCCCCAGCTTACACACACACACACACACACACACACACACACTCAGAGCAGTCACAGGAGGAGGGTCCCTAGGTGCGGAGAGGTGCCGGCCTGCTGTTCTCCCCAGGATTTCTCTCCCCTGGAGGGCTGTGCCCCTTTCACCATGATAACTGAGTGGGCTGTGCTCCCAGGAAGGGACACCTACCCCCCCACCAGGACTCGGAGGGCACACAGTACTTATACCAAAAATCGGGAATGTGTCGGTGGGCAGGTGGCATCATCACTAAAAGGAATGTTCCCTACTTTCCCCGCTATGGTGATAAACGAAGACAAGCCAAACAGATGAAAATACAGTCTTCACGATATTTAGTTTCACTACATTCATCTTAGTTCTGAGTTTTAAGAAATGTCAGGGACCTGTACATGCAAGATTTATGGTGCTTGTTGTTCCTCTAAATCTCCACAACCGCCCCCCACCTCCACCACCGACGTTTCGCCTATAAATCCCCACTTCTTCCAAGAGGACAGTGAATCAGGGCTTTGGCAGCACTCTTCATGGAACAGGATCAACCCTCGGACAGAATTTCCCTTAGCCCTGGCTGTGCCAAGCGCACGTACACGACCAACCGAGGAGGTGGGGCTCGTAGTGAAAACTGCGCCTTTTCGTCCCATTTCCCTGGGAAGCCGAGGGGGCAGCGCGTGGCTGGAGGAAGTTCATCTGCGGGCGACCCCGCCTTCACCATCCGCGCTTCCTTTCCCTTCTCGCACCGTCGCAAGGGCTCTGTTTTCCTCATTTACCTTGTTTTTTTTTTTTTTTAATTTCTATTGCTTCCAGAGACTGACCTAAAAAAAGATTGGTACAATTTGTGTCAGAGAATATTTTGCCTAAAATCTCTTTTAGGAATTTATAGTACTCTGTCTTATGTTTAATTCTTTAAGCTATTTTGANGGGCGGCTCGGTTCCCTGGGGGCCGGTTCAGTGCTTGTCGGTGCTACGGCCGCTGCACCTGGGGTCGCGGGTGTCTGTGAGTGTTCCCCCTCAACCCATCGCGGACGCCCCTGCTCCCTCCGGAGGCCGAGGCTCAAGCTGGTGCCGAGGTCCGGGCGCCTGGAGGTGCGAAGGGAGCCAGATATTGCTGCCCGCCCTCAGGTGACCGTTCGCCTTCAAGGGGTCAGCCGCCTGCGTTCATTCACCCTTGTCCGCTTCTCCGCTAGTATCCGTGCCCCGCGCTCACCGCCCCGCCTCTCCCCTCGGGCGTCCTTGTGCCGCAGGTGTCCTCCCCCGCAGGTGAACCCGCGCCCGGCCATGGTGGACGTGCTGGGCGGGCGGCTCCTGGTGACCTGCGACGGCGCGTGGGTGGAGGCCGAGGCGGCGCTGCAGAACAAGGTGGTGGCGCTCTACTTCGCCGCGGGCCGGTGCGCGCCCAGCCGTGACTTCACGCCGCTGCTCTGCGACTTCTACGAGGAGCTCGTGGACGAGGCGCGGCCGCCCGCGCCCTTCGAGGTGGTCTTTGTGTCCGCCGACGGCAGCGCGCAGGAAATGCTGGAATTCATGCAGGAGCTGCACGGCGCCTGGCTGGCGCTGCCCTTCCATGACCCCTACCGGCAGTGAGTGGAGACCGTGTGTGTGGGACGTGCTGGGAGCTCCCACACCAGCCCCCACCCCAATCCCTCATCCCCGGGCTTCTCCCAACTCGCAGGGCCTCCTTGATAGCCTCCATCCCCACCCCGTCGTGTTTGAGCCTCTTTGCTCTGGCTTCCCAGGGAGGCTCTAGCGTTGGCTGACGGGGCACTTGGTGGGTGCGGACTTTGGTCCACCCTCGTCTTTGGCTCAGTGCGTCTGAGGCTCTGGGAATCTGAATGTATAAGTTCTGGCGATGATTATTCTGCGGCAGGGAGCCCCCTCGAGTAATCACAGTCCTGAGGTGCTGCACCCTACTCGCAGGGAGGGCTTCCCAGGTGCCTCAGCTGTAAAGAATCTGCCTTCCTATGCAGGAGACACAATCGCTGCAGGTTCCATCTCTGGGTCGGGAAGATCCCCTGGAGGAGGAAATGGCAACCCACTCCAGTATTCTTGCGTGGAGAATCCCATGGACAGAGGAGCCTGGCGGGCTACAGGCCGTAGGGTCCTCAAAGATTCGGACACAGCATTGAGCACACTGGCACTGCATAGGGAAGACACCCACCCTTATCTGGAGAGTAGGAGAGGGAGATCCAGAATGGATGCTCAGGTCAGAACTGGAGACTATGGGTGGACCACCCTGTCCCAGCAGCCTGGGCCTGGGTACCAGGTGCTGGGGAGAAGGGTCAGGACTCAAGTCCTTGAGGAACCTACTGCAAGCCACGTTGCAATTTCAGTTTTATTGGCAGTGACCGAAATTTCATAAAGGTGTCTTCTACTCCTATACCTGTAAGAAGAAGCAGCTTCCTGGACTCCTGAGACAGATGTCAGAGGTGAAAAAAATCCATGCTCTCTGAAGGGATCTTGCCCCACCCTTGCTTTTAGAAAAATATGTGACATGGATTTCGGAAATGGTGAAAACTAGAAATTGACCCTAGTGCTCTATTTTTTTTTAAATTTAATTTTTTTGCCATTCTGTGTACCATGTGGAATCTGTTTCCCAACCATGGATTGAGCCCACAGCCCCTGCACTAGAAGCTCAGAATCCTAACCACTGTACCACCAGGGAAGTCCCACCCTGGTGTTCTGTTGGCTGTGGTCATGGGATCTATGGAGGGGAAGAGGAGAAGGTGGGAGGGGGGTGTTAGGGAAGAGAGAGGACATAGGAGGACTTTGTGGAGGATTGGAAGAGGGAAGTGGGGTACAGGCACCGATTGTCTGGCATGTTGGGGTCACCTGTGGTGTAGGAGTCCAGACTGAGGTTAATTGTTCTTCACCAAGTGCATTACCCCACCATCCCCTTAACAGATATGGAGGTGGATTTCTGGATTTTTTTTTTTATAGCACCATGTAGTGCATTTTTCTGGGAATTAGTATTCAGTTGTGGCGTTCCCCCAAATTAATTATTCTGAAATGGTTTTCCTTCTAGACACTTAAAAATTAAAGCTAACTTTGGAAAGTTCCCTGGAGGAGTAATTTTCCCCAGCACATGCTTTTGCTGATGCCAAGCAAGAGGTGAGGCCCAGGCCCTTCAAGGGAGGTTACCTGCTTTCCAAGGCCTCACTCAAGGCAGGACTAGAGAAAGTCATCCATGATACATCCAAATGACCATGATTTACTTGGTTGAAAGTTCTATAGCTTCACATCTAGTGGTGATTGTAAAAGGAGTTTTGATTTGCTTAGCGTTCAAGTTACACACTGCTTTTGAAAGAATACACTTAGTTTTGAAAGTGACAGTGTTAGTAATCAAGTAAAGAGCTCAGACCCTGGGCAGAGTCCAGCTGTGGGATCTATTTGTGGGGTGACTGTAGGCAAGGTATTTAATTGCTGAGTATAATGACATGGCACATGATGGATGAGAACTGCACTGATGCACGAATTCAGAGCTATGCCAGCTGGTTGGGTAGCAGCACTTTCTGTGTTGCCCATTTCACAGATGTACTATTGAAGTGCAGAGATGGGTGTCCCTGGCTCTGGAGACATTCTTTTCTGAACCAGCTTCCTCTCCCAGGGGACACTGAGCCTCAGCACAGCCTTACTGCCGGTGGGGATAAGGGTGGGGTTGGAGGGGCTTACAGCACGCTCTCTGCTTCCTGGATTAACTGGTCAAAGGCCCATTTGGTCCACTGCAGGTGCTGAGCTGTTTAGGGCTTGGCATGGGGCTGCACTAGGCCCTGGCCATCTCTGGCTGCCAGCCTCACCTAAGAGGAATCTGATCTGGGGGGCAGGGTGGGGTGGGAGGGAGGGAGGCAGCAGTTTGGGGAGAAGTTAGTTCCTGGGGCCTGCCCTTCCCAGGTTGAACTTTGTTAATCCTGTCATTGCAATTTATAAGTTAGGAAATGTGGTATTCTGTGGGAAATTCTTGGAGCTAAACCCTAAATTTTGCTTACCCCAGCCTGCATTTTGAAATCAGATCGTGAGCAAAAATGGAAGTAACTGCCACCAAGGAGAACTAAAGAATGTAGGAAGCCTCCCGGAGGCCTTTTGAGAAGTTCTCAATATATGCAGAGCATAGCATTCTTCTTGGTGCTGTGAGAAGGTGAGGGACCCAGGCTGTCTTTTTTCAGTGGTCTACAGGGGTCATCTGCTGTCCTCTGCTTTTCTGATGACCTGCCTGAGGCTCATGCGTGCATGCGTACTAAGTCGCTTCAGTTCGTGTGTGACTCTTTGCGACCCTATAGCCTGCCAGGCTCCTCTGTCCAGGGGATTCTCCCAGGCAAGAACACTGGAGTGGGTAGCCATTCCCTTCTCCAGGGGATCTTCCCAATCCAGGGATTGAAACCACGTCTTTTCCATCTCCTACATTTGCAGATCAGTTCTTTATCACTAGCACCACTTGGGAAGGTCCGCCTTAGGTTCAGGAGGTGGTAGATCACCACAGAGGCACTCCGCCCCGCTAAACTTACCCTGGGCATGGCTGGAGGCGGTGACGCTGCAGATGCAACTGCAAGAAGAAACTTTCTAGAGCCGCTCACCTCAAGGTTGCTCAGATCTTGGCTGTCCAGTGAAGAGTGCACACAAGACCCGACCCCGAGTGCCACCCTTCTGCCTAGAGAGGCAAATATCTAGTGACATCCCTATAGCCAAGGGCAGTGGGGGGCCAGGGTAGGCTCTCAGGTCCTGCCCTGATGCCTGTGTGTGCAGCTGGGTGAGAGGTCTGAGCAAGGGAGCAGCATTGAAGACATATTCTGTCCTGTCTTCCCTCCCTTTTTTTTTATGAGCCAAAGAGCCAAGTAAGGAATAAAGAGAAATCCCTGACTTTGCCAGCAGGAATTTCTGTTGCGTGCTGCCAGGCATGCGATACCCGTTCAGTCCATGTCTCACACATCCCCCTCCAGTATTTGACCCTCACTCATTTTATTTCTTGTTATCTCCTTTACATCTGTGTTCTGGTCAGACTTGACAACTAATATGCCAGAATACTCCACACGCTTTCCCACCTTCAAAGGTCTTACTCATGTGGCATCCTCCAACCCTGGAGCCTCCCACTTCTCTTCCTAGTAGCTCTTCCCTTGTGCCCCTGGGGACACCAGGCGCATGTCTGGCCCCTGAGGCCTATACCTGCCATAGCTCGAGCCAGCGCCACTCCTGTTGGAGTGTGTGTCTGATGGGGCAGTGGTCTCTGTAGTCCCAGAGGTTGAACTAGACATTGTTCAGGGCTTGGCACCTGCAGGGCACTTGTTTGATGGATGTTTGAAGCAAGTAGAGAGATTTGCTCGGTAACAGCCTGGCTACCAGTGGCTGAGATGGAAAGAGACTGGAGCCAGAAGTTGCCATGGCAACCCAGAAACAGTTGTGCCAGGGATAAGGATGCGCTGCTTTAGATGAAGGGAGGGAGCCATTGCTGTAACTGCATGCAGGGTAAGGAGGGAATGGGCTCTCGAATTTCCCTGAAATGGTTAAAATGCTGAGTTATCACTTCATTCTGCCCAGCAGCAAGGCTCTTTCCTTTCTGAGGCTTGTCTATTCCCTCTGGACACAGCTCCCAGAGGAGACAGAGATGACTTCATGGTTCCAGGGTAACACCTGTCACCAGGCAGAGGCTGCCAGGGTGGGGATGTAGGGTCCACACTGGGAGATTCTTTGAAGAGAGGCTGGAGCAATGAAATGTCTTCAGACCTCCTCATTCCTCGAAGGCCTGCCCAACTCCTGATGTCCCCCTGTTTTCCCTTTTTCCTTCTCAATCTCGATAGAGCTTTTCTCTGTTTTTTAGTCTAAGAACCAGGTTTTGTTTTGTTGCTCACCCCATGTGGATTCATTTCCTAGTCCAGTGATTTCTGTCCTCTGTCTTCTTTTGCCTTCTTTCTACTTTCTCTGTAATTGCTTCATCATTGTTTTTCTAGTTTCTTGAATTAAATGCAGAATTCATCTATATAGAGGCCTTTTAGTTTTGGACAAGAATATGTAAGATAACTCTCTGTGTCTAATTGTACCTATAGCTTGGGACCCATAGTGCATTCCATATTGCCCTGTTCTAATTATTTTGTAAGTCTGCTTTACGAATTTCATAGATAACATATGGTTATTTAGTTTTTAACTCATTCCAAAAATTATTGCTTGTTGGTTTCCAGTTCCATTATGTTATGGTCTGACTAAGCGATCTGCACTGATTATTTGATTATTAAGATCCCTTTATGACCAGCACCTTGGCTGGTTTTGTCACAATTTCATAGATGCCTGGAAAGCAAGACATATTTTCTCTGTTGGGTGTAGGTACTGGATTTTTTTTTTTCCTCATTTGAATTAAGATTTGTCTTGGAGCAGGATATCAGAAAGCAGCAGGAAGGACCTGATGGAGGTGTCACAGGGAAGGTTTGGTAACAGGAAGGTCTCAAATGCATTTCTTCTTCCATTCAGGTTCACAACCCTGAAGGCGACAGATAAGGGAAATCAGATTACTGCTAACCTGAGGCCCTGGCAAGCTGGCGGTGGTAATAGGACGGGATTTGCACCCAGCTGTCCTATCTTTAGGGCAATAATCCCTGTGAAGATTATGGGGAGATTTGCAAAACTAAGAAGGCAGATGTTCCTTTCCCTAAATGAATACAAATAATTTTGTAAAATGGTCACACAAGGGGTTATTACATGTGACGGTAAAATGTTTCACCCATAATGTCAATCAGCATGTCCTTGAATTTATAGGGTAGAAAGTCTAGTAAGCCTTTGCTTTTGTCTAAAACTTATGGAATTTTAACTTTTGCCATTATAGGTACCTGATGTATTTAAACCTCTTGAGATGTAGGAAGGATCCAAACTTATTGGGTTACTTGTGAGTTTGAAATTGCACTGTGCCATTTGGCAGCCACTAGCCACATGTGGCTACTTAAATTTAAAATAGACTGAAATGGGAATTCCCTGGAGGTCTAGTGGTTATTACTTGGTGCTTTTACTTCCATAGCTGGGTTCAGTCCCTGGTTGGGGAACTAAGATCTGCAAGCCGCTTGGTACAACCAAAAAATACATAAACAAACAAATAAAGGAACTAAAGCCAAAAATTCAGTTCCTCAGGCCCACCAGCCAGATTTCAAGTGCTCAGTCATCACGGGTGACCGTGGCGATGACCCTGGGCAGCACAGATGCAGAACGGCTCCATCACCGGATGCTCCTCTGGGGCAGCATTGGCTGAGAACCAGCTAGCAGCCAGAAGAGCCCACAGCAATCCTCCGCCCAGCGGGAGGGTTCACCGGGCAGGCGGGGTGCTAGGCTGTGCGGGCTCAGCTGGCTCTGGGGAGGCGCCGGTCCCTGCAGACCTGCAGCGGCCTGGCCTGGCCCGCGCTGACCCTCGGCCACCCTCTTCTCTCCCACAGCGAGCTGAGGGCCAGGTACCACATCACGGCCATCCCCAGGCTTGTGATCCTGAAACCCAGCGGGGAGGTCATCACCGACAAAGGGCGGAAGCAGATCCGGGAGCGGGGGCTGGCCTGCTTCCAGAACTGGGTGGAGGCAGCCGACATCTTCCAGAATTTCTCCGGTTGAGCTGGGGGCCGGTCTCCGGGGGGCCTGCACCGGTGTGCAGTCACTCCTGTTGCTGCAGCTTCCACCCGGCAGAGAAGAAGAGCATGCTGTCTCTCTATGTTGATGGTTTCTTTCAGAGCAGAGGCACTCATCTGTGATGGAAAGAAAATGTTGCTCAGGGAATGCCCTCCCTCTAGCTTTGTTGCTAGTTATTTTTATTGTTCTTAGCATAGTTTTCTCCACATGAGCTTAAGTGTGTTCACAATGAGCTATTGGAAATCTATGCAAAACATGTATTTATACAAGCTCTTCAGGTAAAATGGCATATTTATTGGTACATTTTTCTGGAGATGTCTTTTATTTTTCTTTACTTTTTTTTTTATTGAAGGATAATTGCTTTACAGAATTTTCTTGTTTTCTGTCAAACCTCAACATGAATGAGCCATAGGTATACATATATCCCTTCCCTTTTGAACCTGCCTCCCATGGAACCTTACATTACCATATGTAGATTAGATAGCCAATGGGAATTTGCTGTATGGCTCAGGAAACTCAAAGAGGGGCTCTGTATCAACCTAGATGGGTGGGGTGGGGAGGGAAATGGGAGGGAGGTTCAAAAGAGACGTCTTTATTTTAATGATATGCTCTCATGACTGTATTTATTACTAAAATTTGCACAGTCTGTTTGCTTTAATAAACACACGTATCTGCAGCTGGAGTCCTCCAATTTCCTTCTTTCTCCTGGCAAACCAAGTGCCCTTATGAGGAAAGTGAAGCACTCGAGAAATTCCATTTTCAAGCACTTTGTTTTGTTTTTCAAAGGGATAGTTTTTAATTATAGGTCTTCTTGGGAATTTTTCTTCTCTTTGTTTTCTTACACTTACTTTTAGTAGGATCATATCTTAGAAAGAAAAGAAAACTTCAAGGCTGCATACTTGTATCTTCAAGATCAAATCTCCCCATCTTCTAAAAGGTGCTGATTAATCCAGGTAGACAAAAGTTCACACACAATCTTTCGTTTTTTTAATTTCTATTGAAATGTAGTTGATTTACAATGTTGTGTTAGTTTCAGGTGTACAACAGAGTGATTCATTTATACATCAGTCAGTTTCAGTTCAGTCACTCAGTCATGTCTGACTCTTTGCGACCCCATGAACTGCAGCACGCCAGGCTTCCCTGTCCATCACCAACTCCCAGAGTCCACCCAAACCCATGTCCATTGTGTCGGTGATACCATCCAACCATCTCATCCTCTGTTGTCCCCTTATCCTCCTGCCCCCAATCCCTCCCAGCATCAGGTTCTTTTCCAATGAGTCAGCTCTCCACATCAGGTGGCCAAAGTATTGGAGTTTCAGCTTCAATATCAGTCCTTCCAATGAACACCCAGGACTGATCTCCTTCAGGATGGACTGGTTGGATCTCCTTGCTGTCCAAGGGACTCTCAAGAATCTTCTCCAACACCACAGTTCAAAAGCATCAGTTGTTCGGTGCTCAGCCTTTTTTACAGTCCAACTCTCACATCCATTCATGACTACTGGAAAAACCATAGCCTTGACTAGACGGACCNTGTGTGGGGCAACCACTGGGGGAACATGAGGACACACACATACAACACATAAACACCACACCACATACACTTCACACACTTTACATACACCGTACACAGACACATACCACACACACATACCACACGCATGTACACCAGTCATGCACAATATCACACATACTATACCACACCACAGGCACATACTACACATCACACAGACACACTACACACTCACCATAAGCAGCACACAAACATCACACAAAAAGCATACCGCATATACACCACAGACACACATACTACACACCACACACAAACAAATCACATGCAAACACCACATACTACACACAGAGACATACCACACACACACACACTACATTCACACCACACACACCACAAACACACATACCATACTCACATCATCTTTGTTTTCTGAGTCTTTCTGTCCTTCCTTCCTTTCTCTCCTTCTTTCATAGTGTTTTGTTCTAGTTCCATGAAAGCAGGATCTTCCTATCTCTTTGCAGGACACTGATGGGGCTTGGGGGACCAGACGGAACCCCAGTGTGCTTGCTAACTTTGAGCTCCCCTTAGAGTGATCTTCCTGGGCCATTTTGCCAGGGAGACTTTCTTCCTGGGCTGGTCACATTGATCAGGTAACACCCTCCCATCCCCACTGGCAGGAGAGGACTGGGGGCTGGCAGGGAGAACACACTTTCCCCTGATTTCCTGGAGTTCACTTCAGCACCCCGCCCTCAACTGTGCCTCTCCCACCGTGAAGGACCTCTGGGTGAGGTCGGACACCCAGGGTAACAGCGTGCAGAGGTAATCTGTTGTTGTGTTAGTCCCTCAGTTGTGTCTGACTCTGACCCCATGACCCCATGACCCTATGACCCCATCCTCTCTCCGTGGAATTCTGCAGGCAAAAATACTGGAGTGGGTTGCCAGCCCCTTCTCCATAGGATCTTCTCAATCCAGGGATCAAGCCAGTGTTTCCTGCAGGCAGAGTGCAGGCAGATTCTTTACCATATGAGCCAGCAGGGAAGGGAATCTAGGTCTGATTTCATGTATAGACCCCAGTCCTCACGGGCACTGTGTGTCCACCTCAAGGGGTTTCTGGAGCTGCCAGGTCTTAGGTCTTCAGGACTCCCGGCTAAAACCAGGTCTTGCTTCCCCAGAGCTGGCCAGGATTCTCCGTGTGTGTGTGTGTGTGTGTGTGTGTCTGTAGAGGCAGCCACCACCCCTGTCACTCTTAGAGCTTCCAAACATTTCTTTTTCCCTCTTTGTATTTCCATCATTTAAAAAACCCCTTTGGTGTCATTTTAATGACTCTGTCAAGGAATGAAATTATATGCAGGTGTTCAAACTGCCTGTTTGCCTCAGAGTTGAGAAGTGTCCATTTTAAGTTTGTGATGCCACCAGGACGATCTCTTTGAAATTTTTATTGGATTTAGTGAACTGAAAAAATGCTGTATAAATCTAGCTATCTGCTTTCAACATGAATTTCTAAGTTTGACAATGTCTCCACAGTTGTAATTGCATGTCCAGCATTACTTCTACAACACCTCTCTGCCTTTGCCATTGAAGCATGAGAATGAAAACACTTGTGCCTGGTTGGACCCAGACACTTCACACCATGCATGGAAGCCGTGATGATGTGCTCTGGGCTAGGATCTAAAAGGATGATTTTAATCCAGGTGCAGCTAGATGTGAATTTTAGGTCTAAAAATCCTGAATGAAAGCTCACTACTCCATATGGAAGCTATCTGTAATCCAGTATCCTGTGGGCATAGACTCTCCTTCAAAGAACAACTGCTTGTAGGCAATAGTAATTAAAAAGGAGGGGACTTCACTGGTGGTCTGGTGGCTAAGGCTCTATGCTCCCAGTGTAGGGGACTGGGGGTCAATCACTGGTCAGGGAACTAGATTCTGCATGCTACAGCTAAGAGTTCGCCTCAACTAAAAAGATCCCACATGTTGCAATGAAGATCCAAGGTCTAGCATGCTGCAAAGAAGACCCGGCACGTGGTGGTGGTGGTTTAGTCGTTAAGCCGTGTTTGGGACCCCATGGACTGTAGCCTGCCAGGTTCCTCTGTCCATGGGGATTCCCCAGGCAAAAATACTAGAGTGGGTTGCCATTCCCTTTTCCTGAGGATCCTCCAAACCCAGGGATCAAACCCAGGTCTTCCGCATTACAAGAGGATTCTTTACTGACTGAGCTATCAGGGAAACCTGACCGGGTGCAGGCAAATAAATAAATAAATATTAAAAAAAAAAAAAAGAAAAGGAATTCCACTCGTTTCTGACATCATTGAAAAGTAACTAAGGAGATCCTTTCCAAAGGCCCAAGCTACACATGGAAAATTCGCCTTGCCTCTGCTCCCCAAAGCTCCCTCCAAAATCTCCTGCCCAGTCCCACACTTCTGGTTCCCCATAGCTCTGCTCTCTCCCTCTCAGTTTCATATGGTCTGTTACTGGTTCCATTCGAATCGCCTTCCTTGTTCTCCAGATTCTGCCTTTCCTCACTTGGAATCTCTGCTGACCTGGAGGACTCCTGGTGGCTGTAGGAAGTGGTGAGTTTACAGGGTACAGTACAGAGAACATTTTCTCTTTGGCTGTGGAATAACAGAGAGATTCACCAGGCATCCTTTGTCAGTCCCGGGTTGACAGGACAAGGGGGACAGGCTGGGGATTTTCTGGGTTCATGAAACAGATTTTGTGGCAAAAGCTGTGTGAGGCTTTGAGATTGCAGGAGAAGGGAGGCCACATTAAAAAAAAATATTTATTTATTTGACTGTGTTGGGTCTTAGCTGCAGCAGGCAGGATCTTTTGTGAACTCTTACTTGCGGCATGTGGGATCTAGTTCCCTGGCGAGGGATAGAACCTGGACCCCCTGGATTGGGAGTGTGAATCCTTAGCCACTGGACCACCAGGGAAGTCCCGAGAGGCAACATTTTTAATCGCAGTGAATATCTTTGCAGGCTGCGTTTTTGTGCATCTCAGCTGACAAGGCTCCTCTTTTTTCTTCCCCCTCCCAGCTTCAAAAGAGACCCAAGAAACCGCAGGCTTAGGTGTCTCCCCGTCCAGGTTGGTGTCAGACAGAGCTCCCTTCAAGAGCCTCTGTGTGAGGTTCCTGGCTCTGTGGCTGCTTGCATCAGGGTTTCTGGAGCACTTACACTGTAAGAATGTTCTTAAAGCTGATTATACAGACAAATATATACATAAACAAACCACGTTTGCTGTCATAGTTCCTCCCAATTTGTGGAATCGGTGGCTTAGAAGTGCTTTTCCACTTTCCCTGTGTGCAGGTGGGAAGAGTCTGACTAATAACCTGAGATGAGGGGGGACACCCAGCCCCAGAGTGTCCACCTTATTCCAAAACAGACCCCAGTTGGTTGTGTGGTTATAGATGCACTTTGAAGCCTCACCCACCCAAAGCAAGTAAGGCGAAAACCAGTGAACAAGGAACTCAATGGTGTCTGCCTCCACTCAAGAACCTTTGAGCCAGAAGAAGACAATTTATAGGAGGGGTCAGTTCACCCTCGCGTTTTATAATAAACTCCACTGGCAAAGTTCTCCCTTCCGCATTTCAGGAACTGCCCTTCGGTTATTTGCCCACCCTCGCTTCAGTGTGAGCAAAGGTCATTTGAGGACTTGTTCAATGGAAAAACAATAGTGCCTCTTTGTCCCTGCCAGGGCTTCCCAGGACCTCGGTTAGAACGGGAGGAGACAGGCCCTCTATTCCCAGGTCACTCCATATTCACAGGGCTTCCTGTCTCTACATTCAACCTCTT